TTGCCTGAGACTTCCTCACGAAAATGATGAAAATGTGGCTGCGGCCTAGGCGCGGCGAGGGGGCCGCGCACCAGGGGTCCCAACAATAATTATTCTTTAGAATAAATAATGTTCAACAACAATCATTTTAAGACTGTTCGCCCTTATCTGCTCGAGTGTCGAATAACGCGAATTTCCCAAACCCTCGATACCCGCCCTTTTCGTCTTCGATCGAACCCCTTTTGGGGGGTATACCTTTCTTCCCTGCAGGCCGGGCCCCGGCAAGCGGCGGGGCGGCCGCGGACCGTCGGCCTGGCCAGCGGCAGCGCTGATCGGCGGGGCGGCCGCGGACCGTCGACCCGACCCCAAGAGGGACGGACAGGGGACCGACCACGACGACGACGACGACGACGACGACGACGACGACGACGGCAACGACGGCGACGGCGACGGCGACGACGAGCGAAAGCGAGAGCGAGACAGAACGACAGCAGAGCCACGAAGGACACGAAGTAGGCCACGAAGGGCGACAGCGGGGACACGAAGGGAATGCGTATGGGGCCTCGAAGAGCGCGAACGAGCGTGAGCCACGAAGGGCGGATAATGCAGGGCCACTGAAGGCAACGCTGGGGCCACTGAGGGTAGCACCTGGGCCACGTAGGACAATGAGGGGGCCACAAACGGCGACAGCGGGGCCACGAAGGGCATGCACATGGGGCCACAACGGGCGCGAACGAGCGAGGGCCACGAAAGGCATACGTATGTTGGGCTGCGGAGGGTACGGACGGGGCCACTGAGGGCAGCAACGGGGACACGAAGGGCAGCAACGGGGCCACGAAGGGCGACAGCGGGGCCACGAAGGGAATGCATATGGGGCCACCACGGGCGCGAACGAGCGGGGGCCACGAAGGGCATACATATATGGGGCCACGAAACAAAGCGAGGGGGCCACGAAGGGCTGCAACGGGGCCACGAAGGGCAGCGAGGGGGCCACGAAGGGCTGCAACGGGGCCACGAATGGCTGCAACGGGGCCACGAAGGGCAGCGAGGGGGCCACGAAGGGCTGCTGCTGCAACACGGCCACGAAACAAAGCGAGGGGGCCACGAAGGGCTGCAACGGGGCCACGAAAGGCAGCGAGGGGGCCACGAAGGGCTGCAACGGGGCCACGAAAGGCTGCAACGGGGCCACGAAGGGCAGCGAGGGGGCCACGAAGGGCTGCTGTTGCAACACGGCCACGAAACAAAGCGAGGGGGCCACGAAGGGCTGCAACGGGGCCACGAAGGGCAACGAGGAGACCACGAGGGGCTGCAACGGGGCCACGAAACAAAGCGAGGGGGCCACGAAGGGCTGCAACGGGGCCACGAAGGGCAGCGAGATCCCGATTCCTATGTAATCTGTGAAGAAGTCCTAAGCGTGAGCGCGACTCCTGGGTGCCTGGGTGTCGGGAGCGCGGCGCTGCAGCAAATTGCCAGACATTCCAACGCAAGGGCGCTATTCTTCAGTAAATTGCCAGCAAATCTCCAGCGAGAGCGCGACTCCAGAGCGCACGAGGAGCGATTCCTGAATAAATCGTAAGGAAGTCCCAAGCGAGAGCGCGATTCTTGAATAAGATACGAGGAAGTCTCGGGCGGGAGCGGGGGTCCTGGCTAAATTGTGAGGAAGTCTCAGGCGGGAGCCGTTATTGTTGTAACCCTGGGGCCAGGGGGCCAGTTCGAGCAGGAAGACTTTCCTTGACAAAAAACAAAGTGCGAGCCCCGGGGGGGCACTTCAATTGAAAAAAACGATGTGCACCGGTGGGGGGGGATCAACAATAATTATCTTTTAAGAATGAGAGTTCAACAACAACAACAACAACAACAACAACAACAACAACAACAACAGCAATCATTTTAAGACTGCTCGCTCTTACTTGCCCGCGCGCCATGCAACGTGTATACCCACGCCCTCGATACCCGCCCCCTTCGTCTTCGAGCGTACCCCCTTTCTGGGGGGATTCTTTCTTTTTGCGGGGGCGGGCGGGCTTAGACAAGCGGGCGTGAACGGGCGGGGAACTATTCGGAGGATGGGGCACGCATCTCTTTGCCCACCATTGGAATTAGCGCGGGCCCTGCAAGAAGAGGAAGGGGGAGAACGAGGGAGAGTGGGAGGAAGGGAGCGGGAGGGACGAGGCTAAAGGGGAACACGCCAGGAGAGAGGGGGCGAGGAGGGGGGGGGGGGGACGATTGGAGATAGAGAGACAGAGGAGGGAGGAAGGAGGAGGCTGGAGAGGGGAGGGCGAAGAGAGGAGGGAGGAGGGTTATGGGAGGAGGGTGGGGGGAGAGAGGAAGAGGGAGGAGGAGGGTGGATATGAGGGAGAGGGGAGGGGGGAGGGAGGTTGGATGGGGAGGAAGGGGCAGGAGGGTAAGAGTGTGAACGTTCGAGGAAGTCCTAGGCGAGGGCGTATTCCTCAAGGAAGAGTTGGGCGGGAGCGGGGGTCCCGAGTACATTGTCGGACGTCTCAGGCGGGAGCGCCGGTCGGGCGGGCGGACCCTGACGGGCGGGTCGGGCGGGCGGGACATTCAAACGGGATTTTTGCGTAAATTGCGAGGAAGTATTAAGCGAGAGCGCGATTCCGAAGTAAATTGCGAAGGCGTCCTTGGCGCGAGCGTGGTTCCTGAGCGTCGAGAACGCGATGCTGCAATAAATTGCGAGGAAGTCCTAAGCGAGAGCGCCATTCCTGAGTAAATTATGAGGAAGTCTCGGGCGGGAGCAGGGGTCCTGATTAAGGAAGTCTCAAGCGGGAGCGCCGCTTCTGAGTAAAATGTAAGAAAGTCTAGAGCGGGAGCGCCCTTCCGGAGTAAATTTTGAGGAAGTCTCAGGCGGGAGCGGGGGTCCTGAGAAAATCGTGAGGAAGTCTCAAGCGGGAGCCGTTGTTGTTGTAGTCCGGGGCCCAGCAACGCAATCTGATCCGCAAGGCATTCTTTGTCAGAAAAACAGGGTGCGAGCCCCGGAGGAAGCACTTCAATTGAAAAAAACCAGTGGGCACCGGACAGGGGGGATCAACAATAATTATTCTTCAGAAATGAGAGTTCAACGGCTCCCGCCGGATACGTCCTTACAATTAACTGAGAAACCGCACTTTCGCGTGGGACTTCCTCCCTATGCATTGAGACGCCCGCCCTCGACACTCAAGAATCGCGCTTTCGCTCTGGTTGTTTTCGCGGTTCACGTGGGAATCGCGATATCGCTCGAGACCTCCTCGCGATCCATGCAATACTCACACTTAAGCAATCCGCCTGCTCGACCTGGCCGCTTGGGCCCGCCTTCCCGACCCGCCCGTTAGGGTCTGCACGCCCGATCAGCCCGCCTGGTGCTGCCCATGCTTTCTGCTTCTAGCCCCCCTCCTGCTAATCCCGTGCTCCATCCCTTTTCTTCTGTTCCCTTTCGATCCGTCCTAGCTTCCCCTGTTTTAGGGGCTGCACCAACTAGACGCGGCAGGCAAGAACATAATGGGTTCGACCGAAGACGAAGACGGCGGGTCTCGGGGGTTGGAACATGCGTGCTGAATGACACGCGAGCATGTAAGAGCGAGACGTTTTACAATGAGTTGTGTTGTTGCTGCTGCTGTTGCTGTTGTTGGTGATGGTGTTGCTGTTGCTATTGTTGCCGCTGTTGTTGCGGAAGTTTCATTTCTGAAGAAGAATGAATGTTGATCGTCCCTGCCCGGAGACCGTTGCGCTTTCTAGTTAAGGTGTTCCTCCTTGGATTCGCACCTTTTTTATAAGAGACACTGTAGGGTCACCAAACTGTATGGCTTCCCCTCCAGTTTACAACAACAGCGACTCCCGCCTGACACTTCCCCACAAGTCATTCCAATATCGCGTTCTGGTGCGGGACGCCCTCACAATGTATGCAGAAATCGTGATCTCGCGTAGAATTTCCAAGCAATTCACTCAAACGCCGCGCCCTCGACATTCAAGAATCACGCTTTGGCTTTGACCGATCTCTCGATTTACTTGGGAATCGCGCTATCGCTGGGGACAAAAAAAACTCACGCAGCAGTAACCCGCCTGCTCGACCTGGCGGCCTGAGACCGTCTTCCCGACCCTCCCGCTAGGGTCTGCACGCCCGATCTATCCATCTGGTTCTGCCACGCGCTTTCTGCTCCTAGTCCCCCTCCTGCTAATCCCGTATTCCACCCTGCTCCCTCCCCCTTCCATCAGTCCTCCCTTCCCCTGTTCTAGGGGCTGCACCAAGTACACGCACACGCGGCAGGTAAGGAACATATACCCCCTGGGGGGGGGGTCGATCGAAGACGTAGAGGGCGGGTACCGAGGATTTGGGATGTACGTGTTGGATGGCACGCGAGTCAGTAATAGCGAACAAAATTGAAATGATTATTGTTGTTAGTGGTGTTGTCGGTGTTGTTGTTGTTGTTGTTGTTGTTGTTGTTGTTGTTGTTGGGCTCTCACTCTTGAGAAATAATTATTGTCGATGCTCCCCCCCAGTACACATTGTATCTGTTCAATTGAAGTGCCCCCTCTCGGGGCCCGCACTTTGTTGCATCCGGGAAAATACTCCTGCTCAAGCTGCGCTGTTGACCCCGAACTACAAAAACAACAACAACAACAACAACAACAACAACAACAACAACAACAATCATATTAAGACGGTTCGATCCTTCCCGCTTGCTTGCCAGTCAACACGTATATCTCAAGCCCTCGATGCCCGCCCGCTTCGTCTTCGATCGCCCCCCCTTGGCACCGTGCCCCGGGGACTGGCGTGTCATCCTGAGTCGTTTCTTGCCGGCCCCGGGGCCCGTGAAGGGCCCCTGGAGCCCAAAATGGCCGAAAACCTGCCATCATGATTTTCGTCGTGGCTCGAGGGAGTCGGACGTCCAGGACCCCCCGCCCCGAAGGCGTGCGAAAAATTGAAAACCCATAGATCGCCAGAAACCCCTAGGGAATTTGGCGACCCATGGGTTTCCCACAATTCGGAATTCTGGGAAACCCATAGATGGACGACTGCCACCCACAACCACCCAGCGCGCTCGTCCGGGTGCCCCTCATCCGTGAAGCGCAGCTCGAAGCACTGGCCGCAGTTCTCGTCCCCGGCCAGGCCTCGGCACGCCTGGCCCGGGCCGCCAGTCGAGCGGCCTTCCTCCCCGGACACCTGCTCGCGCGTTCTTCTAAAAATCCCCAGCAGTGCACCCTAACAGCAGCCAAGGTGAAGAGGCGGGTCGAAGAGTAGGAGGTCGGAGGGTGAAAGTGCATGCCTAAGTGCATTCGTAGAAATTCCTATGAAAAAGTGGAGCTGGGGCAGGGGTGAGAGCACGGCCGTGTGCACCGTAGAATATGTTTGACCGAGGATCGTGACCGTCCGGACCGAAAACGTAACTGGCATTGAGGCGATAGCACGATTCCTGAATAAAACACGAGGAATTATCAGGCGAAACGGCTGCCCGACCCGGCGGTCTCGGGCTCCCTGCGGTCTCGGGCTCCCCTCTTGTGGGACTCCCCTGCGGTCCTTTTTAACCGAATCCTCTAGCGAAACCGTATCAGGGAGTTACATCGGCCCCAGGGGGCCCTCGCTGGGCCCCGGGACAATCAAAAAACAACCAGTATAAAAAACCGGCCCTTGGGAACAGAGGCCCCGTAGTGACAAATAAAGACGTTGCATGTCTGAGTCCTCCTCCTCCTGCGCCTCCTCCTCTCGGGGACGCGCCGGGAGGGAAAGTGAGAGGAGCATGCTTTTCTCGGAGTGCGGCGGGGCTCCTCGAAGCCCTGCGGCCTTGAAGAACCACCTCTGCGGCTTCGGAGCAGGCTTGGAAAGCTTCTCGCCAAAGACTTTCTGAGCCTTCTGAGAAGAAAGGCCGTCCCCTCTGCCTGCCCCCCTGGGCGTGCCGCCGATCCTCTGTGTCACATGCTGGCGCTTCCCCTCAGTTGTTGGCCTCCTGGGGCCGTCTTCGGGTCGTCACAACTGGACCTGGGATGAAAAAAAACTGCCCCTGGGGAGAGAGCTGGGACGAAGCCATTAGGCGGACGGGGGCTAGGGGGTGGGAAGAAACGCGCACCTTCAAGATGGGCCCCCCGTGTGTGGCTGGAGAGGTCCAGCGGACCACGTCAGGAAAAAAACAGGACGTCGGATGTCTGAGTCCCGTCCTACTCCGCCTGCTTTACGCCGAACCGCCCGCAACCGTGCAAACAAAGGTTCCAGAACCTTTCCGCATCAACCGAAAGAAGGGTGGAGCGGAAATCCTCCTCGTCGAACATGATCTGATATCAAAGAATGATGAAGCCTCATCAGCATGGGATGATGGTTCGGAATAATAGATTGCGCTCGGCTGTGAGTACCATTATGTAACATGAACCTAGGTTCGTTGATTCTGGAAACATCAACAACTGTCCATCAGTACCGAGATCACTGTGAGGAGCACAAAACACACACACACACACAGACGCACACGCCTCCTCACTGATGATCCTGCAAGAATAGTGAACCGCGGGTCGCAATACTGTACGAATAATCAACGGCGGCCAACACTTTCTGGGGAATACGGAACGGAGGTACTTAGCCCTGTACTGGGCACGAGGCTGGAAGAAAATGTACCTGATCGAATCAACTTATGTAAGAACTGCGGCCCCTTAATATCCGACTCTTCAACAGCAATCCGTTATCCCTGGCACCGAGCCGACCTGGAACCCCCATCCCTTCTTCATCGCTTGAAGTCTGGCATAATGATGCCAGGGTAATCATTCGTAAATAAGAAAGAGCGTGTTCTACTGCTGCTGGCGGAAAACCGGGGGGGGTCACTACCGGTTCGAACCCCTCCCCCTCCCCCCCCCTCCGGAAAACCGAGGGGGGTCACTACCGGTTCGAACCCCTCCCCCCCCCCCCCAATTCATCATGAAAAGGGGGGGGGGTCACTACCGGTTCGACCACCCCCCCCCCCTCGAAAACCGGGGGGGGGTCACTACCGGTTCGAACCCCCCCCCTCCCCCCCCTCGAAAACCGAGTGGGGGTGCGGACAGTGGTGGGGACGGTGTTGGTGGGGACAGTGGTGAGGGGACAGCGGGACAGTGGTGGGGACAGTGGGACAGTGGGACAGTGGTGGGGACGGTAGTGGTGGGGACAGTGGTGGGGACAATGGTGGGAACAGGGGGGACAGTGGACAGTGGACAGTGGTGGGGACGGTGGTGGTGGGGACAGTGGTGTGGGGACAGTGGGAATGAGGTGGAAACAGTGGGACAGTGGAGGGTACAATGGTGGTGGGGACAGTGGTGAAGGCGGTGGCGAGGACGGCGGTGGGACAATGGGACAGAGGTACAGTGGGGACAGTGGTGGGGACAGTGGGGACAGTGGTGGGAACAGTGGGACAGCTCAGTGGGACAGCGGAGGAGTCAGTGGGACAGTGGGGACAGTGGGGATAGTCGGGCAGTGGTTGGGGCCGTGGAGACAGTGGGGAGAGTGGAACCGTGGTGGGAACAGTGGTGGGGACAGTGGGGACAGTGCGACAGTGGTGGGGGCACTGGTGGGGACAGTAGGGACGGTGGTGGAACCAGTGGGGACAGTGGTGGTGAGGACAGTGGTGCTGGGAACAACAGTGGGGGATGTGATGCGGACGGTGGTAGGGACCGGGAGTCGTTTGCTGGCGGTGCGTGGGGGGGGGGTTCGAACCGGTAGTGACCCCCCTCCGGTTTTCGAGGGGGGGGGGAGGGGGGGGGTTCGAACCGCCGGTAGTGACCCCCCCCCGGTTTTCCGGATCCGGAGGGTGGGGGGGGGGAGGGGTTCGAACCGGTAGTGACCCCCCCCCGTTTTCGAGGGGGAGGGAGGGGGGGGTTAGGGGAGGGAGGGGTTTTGCCGGGGAAGGGGGGGGGGGGTCCAGCAGGGGGGGGGGGATTTTCGGAGGGGGGGGGGGGCGACCCCCGGGTTCCGGAGGAAAAGGTTGGCAATTTTCCACAGTAAAGCGGCGGTGGATCACGCTCTCTCGTAAGTAACGAACCGAAGTCCACGATTCCCCAGACGTGATCGACCTGGGCCCACTGGTCCTGGGGAGTGAACCGCCGATTTATTGTCAGCTGAGGTCCGTCCTCGCCGAGGAGCCTGAAGAACATGCTGCAGTCCCCCAGCATCCTGCCCGCCTTCCTTCTCTTTCTCAGATTTCCATGTTCCTCCCCCTCCTCCGCCTCCTCCCCTGAACACGATCCATGACTGCGGCAGCGGGAGCCGCACGAATCACAGGCCGATCGCGCAAACGACTCAACCAGCCACGCGGTCGATCCTGGCCGATCGTCCGATTGGTGGTTGCTTGCGCTGCGATTACCACCGTCTTTGAGGGTTCCCAAACGGCGCGGTGACAGACCGTGCGGTGACCTCGAAATCCCTCGAAACTCCAAAGCCCTCACCACACGGTCCGTCACAATACGGCTTGGAGACCTCGGAGGCCCCGATCGCCCGAGACTACGCGGTGCTTTATTCGCGGTGTCCTCTACGTGTTGTTGATTTGCGTTGTGCTCTGTACGGTTTTCTTTGTTGCGAGAATTGCTCTCACAAGTCTACTGAATTCATCTCCGCAATGTTTCTACGAATTGCTTTCTACGCGCTGATGCTTTTTGGGGGGAGGAGCAGGAGATGGGAGCGGACCGCGATCATATACACAACTCGCCTCGCCAAGAGTACTGGCAATCCCACCAGCCCTCTGGGCGCATGTGATCTAACGATGACTTTCTTCTCTTCCAAAAACCCCTCGCCCTCCTTCGGGGAAGGGTTTACCCCTCCCCCTACCCCCTCGCCTGGACCTGGACGGGAGGGGCGTTTTCGAGCAGGCGCCTTACATGATTCCTTTTGTTGGTCAAGTCGTTCCCTACCACGCTCCACCACGCAATGCTCCAGACCAAAGCCGTAAGACGGTACAGCGTAAAACAACACAGCGTAGAAAACACTGCGTAGAAAGCACTGCGTAGTAAACGCTGCGTTTGGGGGCTCGAGCAGGCGCATTCCGATTATTGAGTTTGTTGGCCAAATCTCTCCCCCCGACGCTCCACCACGCAATATCCCATACCACAGACATAAAACAACACAGCAGTATATACTTAGATATAAACAACAACGTTGAAAACACTGCGTAGAAAACACAACGCTGCAAGCACTTGCCCGAGAGCTCTCAGCTCCAAAATGAAGGCGTCTGCAAAATGAACGCCAATGTGTGCTGATGAATATGGGATGCGCGTGCGAACACCACGCAACAAACACTACGTAGTAAACCACTAACACTCTGTAGCAAGCACAACGTAGCAAACACTACGTAGCAAACACTACGTAGTAAGAAGAACGTAGAAAACACTACGTAGAAAACACTACATAGAAAACATAACGTCGTAAGCACAACGTAAAGAAAACACTACGTAGAAAGCACGGTGTGAAAACCACCATGTGGAAACATCACGTGGAAAACACACTGTAGAAAACACATCGTGGAAAACACTGCGCAGAAAACACGACGTAGAAAACACTACGTAGCAAGCACTACGTAGAAAACACTGCGTAGTAGAGTTCAGTTCACTGTTAAGTTTCTATTTCACCATTAAGGGAACCCTTGACACGGTGTGGTCACCGCACCTTTGAGGGCCTATGGCGTCTGCTAGAAGAAGAAGAAGAACAAACTGCAGAAACATCAACTTTCGGAGCTCCGCGTGGATTTTTGGATCGGCGCCAGAGTCGCTGCCAGTGGGGCCCAGCGCCGATCCGAGAAATCCACGCGGAGCTCCCAAAGTTTGCGTTCATGCTGCTCTTTATGTTTCGGTCTGCGCCGCCTGTGGCCCCACGATCGGCAGCGGCTGGGGCAGAGGCCATGCCCACCACCCACGGCTGCGGCGGCGAAGCCCACACTCAGGTTATCGTTCACGGCGAACGGCTGATTGTCGGGGCAGGCCGCGGCTGCTCCTCCGAAGCTGCAGACGCTCTGAGCCTCCGTGTCGGCCACGTACTCATGAGTCTGCGCCCAGCAGGATCGGGGCGGCTGGTTGACGTTGCCCTTGTCCGAGGGTGCCAATGGTTTCTTGTGCCGATGCTGGCCAGGCCAGTCTTGGGCCCAGGATTGGCGTCTTTGTCTAGGGGGGCGTATGCACAGACCCTGGGCCCAGGGTTGGACTGGTCAGGTGTTTTGTTGGCGCCCTCCGACCTTGCCAGCCCACCCACAACTGGGCTTGCAGCAGTTCCAGTAACCGGTGGTGAAGGTGCCGTTCACCCATCCAACAGGCATCCTGGCAAGGGCGAGGCACTGCCAGGGAGTCTGGAACTCCGGGGCGTCATTGGGGTCGACGGCGCCGGCCTCGCATGCGGGTTTGCAGCTGGCCCACGAGTCGTCCTTCGAGTAACACTGCATCGTCTCATTTTGGCAGCATCGCGACTGCCAGCAGTTATCACCAAACTCTGTGCACACCAGCGTCGATGTCATGGTCTCTGATGTCTCGGTGTGCTCTGTCGTTGTGGCCGTCGAGCTGGTCGTGCTCACTGTGGTCGTGGTGACCGTCCACCTGCTGAACTCATTCGGCTCGGCAGTTGAAGTACTTGACAGGAACGCACTATCTTCCTGTGGTTCAGGCACGCAGCCTTGCAAAGCCAGCGCAATGGTAAGCGAGAGCACACCACTACAGAGGCTGCGGACCAAGCTCACGCCTGATGCCTGCACCATCAGGCGCTGACAAGGCTGCTCGGGGCAAGGCAAGTGGCTGGAGCCGAAGTGGCTCGAGACAACGACATTGTGGTGACAGACGCACTGTCCAGACATTACCCTCCCTCTCCCCTCCTCCTCCTCCTTCTCCTCCTCCTTCTCCTCCTCCTCCTCTTCGTCCTCCTCCTCCTCCTCGCTCTTTCAGGGCAGTTTAAGGCGAGCAGTTCGGGTTTCATGCACATGTGAGTGTAATTTACAAGCACGCTCCATCTTAACAGACGGGCAGTGTGCAAGACCTCCTTACGAGGTGCACTGGCTGCTCAACCCAATATTTTGGAGAGACGGGTGGAGAGGAGGGACCTGTGGTTAAGAGCGGTTTCGAACGCCTCCTTTATCAGCGGGCCTGCCAGGCGCGCGACCCCGGTGTCGGCATGGTGCCGCCTCCGCCCGATTCGGCCGAGCGTTCTTGCTTCTTCAGCGCCTCGTTCGTCGAGAACGGCCACGCTGTCATCGGGGAGCTGCCGGAAGCGCTCCAGGACAACTCGCCGACACCGTGGTAATTTCTCCTCCAAGTGCAAAATCACACGCGTGCGCGTTCCGAACCACTGCATGCACACAGGGCAATGTTCGGTGTCAGCGAGAGCTCGCAGTTTCCTGCACACTCCATGCACAGTGAAAGCATGGGTGGCCGATTGTTGTCACGTGCTGCACGTATACACACATCTCGAGCATGTATACTCGGCGTCAACTTCGACCATCCGGCGAGTCCGCGCCCAGGCTTGCACAGAATTGACCGCTCTCTCCCCTTTCGCTTTTCTGAGGGCCGCACGGAATCGTCTAGGGTTGTCGCGGACGACAGAAACCCACTCAGCAACCGCGTTCCGCCCCAACTCTGAGAAAGCACCAGCACGTTCAGACAACATGTCGAGGTCTTCGGCCACAGCCGTCATCCATGAGCGACGCACGCCTACAGCGCGGGAAAGGACACCGCAAAGCGCTAGAGGGCCATTCAAGCACACTCTACTGAACAAGCACAGCCTCATGTACAATATCATTATGGCCAGAGCTATGAGATCACCAAGTGACGAAACATCAGCGTGGGATGGGGCACGGACGCCGCCCTGGCTGGAACGGAAAACGGTGGAATAGATTTGCATTACGGCAGTGTGTACGCGAGTAAGTTCACTGGCGTATAGCTGTGGCCCAAGTTCCAGCCTGATGCAAGCCCCGTGTAAACAGGATGCCCTGGCACAGCGCCATCCGCGTCTCACTTGGCACAAATTCCCGGTGCAAGATGCTGTGGCGAACCTGCTTGAAGGTCGAAGTCATGGCCCCGATCTTAGCGGTGATTTCAGGCTGCATGGTGTCCGCAGAACATGTCAAAGCCCCCACATGTTTGTATTGGGATGTCGCCACGAGCCGGCAGTCCGCCCCAAGCGAAGAGAAAACAATGATGCCATCACTGTCTCGGAACAGGCGGCTTCGCGCCTCGACTGATCCTGGGCCTCCTCCTCCTCCTCCTGCTCCGCCTCTTCCTCCTCCTCCTCCTCCTCCTCCTCCTCCTCCTCCTCCTCCTCCTCCTCCTCCTCCTCCTCCTCCTCCTCCTCTATGGAGCTCTATGGCAACTGGGAGCATCCCGCCTTCTAGAAAACACCAGGTCTGCGCCAAACCTTCTCGAAATCTGGAAGTCCTTGCCACTACTGCTCATCCGCTGCTAGAGCTGGCAGCGCCCCTTCCTAAAACCAGCGGGGACGGCGACTGCCCACCGTGCACGCACAGCACACACTGTGTGCGGTGCGCGCACAGCACACACTGTGTGCGGGACCTGTGTCCCAGGTCCCGCATAGATGCCCACATGAACTTCAACGGCACCCAAGTTGTAGCTGGGTGTAGGCTCGTTGCAGGCCTGCTGATTGCGCACACGTGTACACATCATGACATGACCTAAAGGCGGTCCACATAGGATCAGCTTCAAAACCATCTGATCAACTAACGTACTACTACATTGTCAATTATGTATGCCCTCCCAGATTCGAAAATGTTCCTCTGCGTCCTCCTGGCCATCCGACCCTGACCCACCTCTGGTCTCCGACTGGCCAGCTTAATTTAACACAACCAGCCAAGACAGTCCACGGGAACCAACTGGTAGCCTCGGGCCGACAAACAGGGCACTGCCGCTGGCGCCCCGCGCGCCGCAACGTCAGGCGACGAATGTGGGGCCAGCGTGCGCGGCGTCGTCCAGCATGGCGAGAGCCGCGGAGCAGTGACCTGCCAAGACCAGGTGGGAGAAAGGCCCCCCCATTGAGGCACACATCCCACACAACCTCCGTCGTGCACGCTGGGGCAGTGCCACGGGGAAATCGCCACTACGGGGGTCGCCAATTCCTCTAAGAAACATAATTTCCTCAAGGAAGTGGGCCCCAAAGAACACTCCAGAGCCCTCCAAAACGATCCCAAACGTCCAAAAACCTCCTCGAGCCTCGATCCTGGAACCTCGATCTCCAGGCAGACCTGGTGACCCCCCTGATGGTGACCCTGGTGGTTTCCAGGCCATCACCCGAGACCTCCGGCGGCCCTTCGGCACGATCCAAGCGCCAACGGCACGATTTCGGCGAGGCGCAGCTTCTGGAGAGCATCCCGAAGCTGGAAACCGGTGACGCCCGAAAACCTCAGCCCTCGAAACCG